TCCTCCTTCAACACAGCCTGAGTGATGAGGGGAAGGATACAGCCCTGGCACACACCTTGCCCTGTCCCAGACCACACAGCAGCCCCTTTGCCGGTCCCAGCATTGCTCACGAGCACCGTTTCACGTTCTGAAATCTCCATTCTTTGCAAGGTTATCCATAATTTTCTAGGACCCGTGTTATGATCATATGTTATGACATCGGGTATGGTCAATAGCACACAGGTAAGCAGCCTTCCGGTTGTCTCTGGTTTCAGCTGGCATTTTCCGGTGTCCATGAAGATCCGTCTGCAATGATATCACTTGTTTCATTTCCTCATCTGGATCTGGCTTGAACGTCTGGCAGTTCCCTGTTTCCCGTCCAGGTATTCCTGAAGCTATTTAAAAACAATCTTCAGAGAAACCTTACTTGCATGTGATATCAAAAACATTGTTCAATGATCTCTGCATTCTGTTCGTTTAACACAGTGGTTCTCAACCTTCCTAATGCCGCGACCCTTTCATATAGTTCCTCATGTGGTGGGGACCCCCAACCATAACATTATTTTCGTTGCTACTTCATCACTGTCATTTTGCTACTGTTATGAATCTTAATGTAAATATCTGATATGCCAGATGTATTTTCATTGTTACAAATTGAATATAATAAAAGCATAGTGATTAATCACCAAAAAATATGTAATTATATATTATGGGATATTTATGTAGTTTCTGATGGTCTTAGGTGACCGCTGTGAAATGGTCGTTCGACCCCCAAAGGGGTCGCGGACCCACAGGTTGAGAACCGCTGGTTTAACAGGTTGCATCCATTTGGTGAGTGCACTGAAGACAGAGGTGAAAATCACAGCCCGGGAATTAAAAAAAGAGCTCTTCAAGGTATCATCAAAGCAAGGATGTCCCCTTGAGCACTACGGTCGCCTGATGGAAGCCTTGGTAATTCCCAATTGTTTCCGTGCACCAGAAAGCCGGACAGTGCCTTTGCAGGACAGATTGGGTGCCTGGGACTCCAGGGCCGGAAGAATATTGAATGTGCCCGGGACCGCAGAAGACCCAACAGATCATCTTGGAAGAAGTACAACCAGAACGCTCCCCCGCCACCTCTTCACTCTTCCTTTTTCTCTTTTTGGAAGAGTCCAATGGATCACTTCCAGACAGTTGGCCAGGTAACTGTCTTCCCAATTCCTTTGCATAGGTGCACGAGGGCTGTCAGCACTGCACTCGCCCGTGGAAGCTATCTGGTAATTGCCAGAGCCTGGTTTGGGCTGATGCCTTCAGTGCCACTGGAGCTCCTTTCTTCAATGTCATCGGGTCTTGACTGGATGCTGAATGCTGACCAATTGGTTTTGGCCCAGGGACTCTGTGTATTCCTTTCATCTTCCCTTAGTGCTCCCTGGACCCATCATATTTTGTCCTCAGGGTTCTTCAACAGGACAACTCAAGGCTTGAAGCTTGGTCTTTCGCTCTTTCAGCTTGAGAGGGTGCCAGGGACATTCTTCCGCTTTGGGTTCCGACTCCAGCTCTTTGCACAGGTTGGTCTGATTCTTCACTCTGACTTCCGGAGCAGCCCTTTGGAAACCCTCTGCTTGGGGTTTCTGTCATTTCTTCTGTTCATGTTAGCTCCTATTCTGCATTCAAGAGCCGATGTCAGAGACCCTTCGGACGCCCGTTTTGGTCTTCCCATTCCTTCCTGTCTTTTCGGTGACCTGTGCTTTCTGTGTGCACGATATCCTTGACGCCGTCCTGCACCCCATCCAGTCTTCTCTCAATGATGCCCAATGATCAAAGCTGTCCGAGATGATCTCGACTCAGGCAGGTTGTTCTCAAGGTGGTACTTTGAATTTCACTGACTTCTTTTAACGTGCCTCACCTTCCACTTGAACTTGCAGATGGGTCCCTCAGTTGGGCCCTGATCCTGCTTGCCTGATGAGATTGAGCGTCTCCGTGGTCTCTTCCACCAGAGGAGCCCATTGAGTCCTGTGTGTTTTGGGTGATGCATGTGGGGCCATTCCACTCCAGTGTGTAAACCATACGATCGCCAACACCAGTCCATGTCAGCTCAGATGTTGATCCCCATGTATTCGGTTTCCTTTGTCATGACTCCCCATGCTCCCTGGGAGGACCCCTGGTAGCCTGGCGGTTACACATTGAGCTGCTAACCACAAGGTCCGCAGTTTGAAACCACGAGCACAAAGCGCAGCAGAAAGATGAGGCTTCGGACCCCTGTAAAGACCACAGCCTGGACACCCAGGGCAGTTGGTTCTGCTCTGTCCTGTAGGGTCGCTCTGAGTCGGACTTGAGTCACCGCCAACGTGTTTGGGACAAGGAACGTTCAAATCTAGCTGTTTATTTCTTCTTCTTTTTCAAAGGGGACAATACTCTTTTAGAATCCTCATCGTACTCATGCAGCTTCAATGAATCTTCCTTGTGGCCCATCCTATTTTAGCTCTAGCCACTCATATCGGTTTGGGGTCAAAGTTATATTCCTTTGTTCATGGGCCCGATTGTATGGGAATCCAGTTTTTATTTGTTTGTTGTGATCACTGCTGATTTGTGAAGGAGAACTTCTCTCTCAACTCTTCCGGGCCCTGCTGCCATCTGTGCCCTCCTGTGACGCAGGTGATGCCACTTTCCTGCCTTTACAGAGGAGGAAACTGAAGCTCCACCCCCACCCCCACCCCCGCCCCTTGCCCGGGCTAAACCATGGCATCTTCTCCAGGAAGGCAAATGGCTTTTCTGCATCACCTGTGCCCCCTGGTGGCTGCTGAAAACATCTGCAAGCACTCCACCCCCAAGTCGCCTGGGTGAAGGGAGCCAGCCCCGGGGTGCTAAGCCCGCTTCTGTATTATTTGTGGGGGGTGGGGGTGGAGTTGGAGACGGTCATATTGGTTTTAGAACATAAAGCCTTTCCCTGTGGGATGTCATGCAGGCGCCAGACACACAGACACAGATCTGGGGTCCAGGGCAGCCTGGGGGGCCAGGAAGGTGGTGTGCCCAGAAGCAAATCCATCCTGTTCCTCGAAAACTCTCCCTGCAGCTGCTGAGCCCCCCTGGGTCCCGTGTTCTCCTTGGCTGAGCAGGCCTGAGGGAGGGTGGGGTGTGCTCTGCGAGGTACAAACCGCTTACATGCTAGTCAGAGGGTCAGAGGTTCAAGCCCACCCGCGATGCCCACAAAAAAGGCCTGGTGCTCTACTTGTGAAAAGTCAGCCGGGGAAACCGCCGCGTGGAGCGCAGACCTGCCCTGAAACGTATGGGGTCACCATGCGTGCTGACTGCTTGTATCTGTGGGACAGACTAGGCGGACAGGGGCTGACTGTGAAGGACACCCTCACCACCACCACCACACCCTCGGCTGTTTCCATCACCCACAGTCAAGTCACGAGACACGTTTTGCCAAGAGTGGACCCTATCCTGCTGCCCCGTTCCAGATCTGCCCCCATCTGCCTCAGGCAGAGGAAAAGACCCTTTAGAGATGTGGGTGTTACAAGTGCCGTTGGAGCAATTGATACAACCCACACACACACACACACACACACACACACACACAATCACATTTTAACAACCCACAGACATCGAGTTGATCCTGACTCAGCATTTCTGAGGCTGTCGAGACTGACAGGAGCACACAGCCTGAGCTATCATGCCTGGAGCAGAGAGGCTGCAGGGTTTGAACCGCCAACCTAGGGGTTAGCAGTCTGAGGTTGACCCTAGAGCACCACCAGGGGGCAGCTGAGACACAGAGGTCCAGCCCCACCCGGCGGGAACGGGGGGCGGGAGGAAGCATCCTGACTGGTGGGAGCCTCTGGGCTTGCAGCCCCTGTGCCAGGTCGTGTGGCCCGGCTGGAGCCCATGGCTGCCCTCCCGGCTGTGCGCTGGAGGCAAGCCAAGGTGAGCCCTCTGCCCCCACCAGCTCCTGCCAAGGCCCGACTCACTTGTGCAGGCTGTACTTCACTTGGCCCAGCAAGAGCATGCTCTTCTCCCCCTCGATGTCCGGGTAGCTGGCTCGCTGGAATACGGTCTGGATCACCTTGGTGGTCTCCTGGTTCACTGTGAGGAAGGGCAGGCGCTGGACTCCCACCCACTCTCCCAGCTCAGGGGCGGATCTGCCTGCTAAGTCAAAGGACTTCTCTGGGGACAGACGGAGCTCCAGGAGCCTAAGGGTCCAGGTCACGGGGCACTCCTGGCCCCAGCCACACTCTGATGCCAGGCCCACTCAGCTCCCCATGCACACTTGGACAAAGTCTGCACTCCTGTGTCTCCGTCTGTTTCAAAGGGCTTTGTGTTAGCCTCCTTCCTTGTCTGTGTAAGACAGCAATGACTCCATGACAGGCCAAGCCTCTTAAGGCAGCCTGAGTTTCGTTTCTCTAACAAAGTCACCCTCTCCCCTGAAATGACGCTGACCACACCTGGAAAGGCCCTGAGTGATCACAATGAGGCTGGCCACACCTGGAAAGTCGTGAGTGACCACAATTGGAACGACTGAGAGTGGAGCCAGTCAACCCAAATGACTTACACAACCAATTGTCTCCGGATGAAGTCATTGAACTATGGGAGGGTGAGGGGGAATAGCTTCACCCAGTTTATGTAACCTAAAGAGTATAAAAGCTTGGCTTGTGCCCCAAGCCGGGTCCTTGTCTTGGAGGAGGCCACTGCGTTGGGGCTCTGGGACTTGGGCCCTAGCTCAAGCTAGTCGATAAACTCCTTTGTTGTTTGCAGCCTCCGTGACTCCGCCTCTCTGTTCCTGAGGCCAAGGGAAAGCCGGCAGTAACATCTGCACAGGACGCCAGGACCCAGAGAGGGACGGCGAGCTGCTTCATGTCACACAGCAGTCAGTGAGGTGAACCTCCCTGACACTCACCACAAAATAACCCCTAGCACCGAGTCCACTCGGACCCCTGACCTCACCAGAGCTGATCCCCTACTCTGCTCTGAACCTTAGCTGAAACCTCAGGTTGACCCTGGGGCCCAGACTAACTATCAGAAATCCCTACAGCCGGCTGCTCACAGCCCAGCCAGGATCTCCTCATCCGAGGGCCGGACCCTGAAGGTCAGGTCAGGACATGTGCAGGTGGGCTGCAGGGAATGTCCCTCCTTGGGCCCCAGCTGCCCTGACTGGTTCCTGGCTCAACACAAGGAGTCCTGGATGGACAGACAGCTGGGCAGACGCTGGGGCAACAGAGATACTTACACACCAGCGTGGCAGGCTTGGTGATCCGGCACACAATGCCCGCTGCATAGGAGTTGCCATTGGGGCAGGCCTGAGCACTGCCCAGCAGGGCCAGGGCCAGCAGAGTGGCCGCCAGCATGTTCTCAGGCGGCAGCAGGGGAGTGACCGCAGCGGCCAGGCTGGGGCTCTTATGCATGTGTCCACCCAGCCCCCACGGGACATGAGGCACTTCCGGGGCAGCAGGGTCTCCTGTGATGATGGCAGTTTCCTGGCCCCAGCGAGGCACCCCTTCCTTCCCGGCCCTTCCCGCCTCCTCCAGGTTCAGGGTGGCTGCCCCAGCAGGCTTCCTGGCTCTCGGACACCCCCGCCCACCCTCCACCCATCTGGCCACCTCCTGGCTTATCTGGGAAATTGCTTCTTTGATGCTTTTCCTTAGATCTCTTCTTGTTTCTCTCAACCTTAAATGTATCTAAAAACAAGCTGTATCTGCTGTGTTTAGATGACCTCGAGCCTGCAGCCTGCCAGGACGTGCAAATGAGACCTCAATCAAAAAGCAAGAGGGATGGTCTGACAGTCCCTGGCCTTGAGCGTGTTTGCTTGTCTCAGACAGACGGGCCTGAATGCCCTGCCAGGCACCCTGTCCCGGGACGTCTGTGTCAGGACCTTTGGGAGCCCCCACTGAGAAGTCCTTAAAGTGAGCCTCCCTTAGTGCATTGAGGAGGAGTCCTGGGGGC